ATGACAGGTGAGTGACAGATCAGGAACAATAGCTTAACATGTTTGTCTGCACGTCAGAGTAAGTAAGTTTCCATACCAGAACAGGATAATGCATTAAATTTATCCCTACGCGACAGAGATGAAATAACTTGTACAAAATCATTATCGAAACGCTTATTGCCTATAAATTAGTATCACCGTATGCCTAACTATGAATGTTTTGGCATAATATTACACCCAATTGCAAGAGGTGTCGCCATATTTCGTAACATTTATTATAAAAGTACAATAAAAATACAATAAATTAATGTAACTGTCTTAATCTACACTACAGGACAAGTCTGCAATGTTGCTGTGTCTATTCCTCCTTCTTCAAAACCGACAACACGACTTTTCACACGCCCCGTACCAGTCAGCACAGGAGGATCACTGACCGCCAACACATCTGTAACTTCTGTAACAGACAGCACAAGTGTTCTGACAGCCCTAAGTATATTAACTACTTCAACGTCAGTGACCGCCTCCACCTCACAAGGCTCTAAGCCTACTTCACCCTCACTGACGTCATCACCGACGCCATCAGTGCCAACGTCACCTTACCAAAATACTCCAGCCGCTAAGACGCTATCTCCCACCAAGTCGACAAATGAGTCGTCCACTCTCCCACTGCGTGCTAAAGCGCAGGTATTTAACAATGACTATTTTACCAGCAAACAAACATTCAAACAATTTCATATCACATTAAAAACTGAAGAGTTCTCATTTGAAATACGCTAAAACACTACAAGCGCTAAAATCAGGCAATGAATTGCTACACTAAAACACTACAAACACCAATAACGGGCATGGATCTGTAACACTGAACACTACAACGCCAACAGAAATAGGCTTGTGACTGTCATATATTCATCATGGTAATTCAGTTAACTGAGGAATAGAAATATCAGCATCACATAAATCTCCAGCCACTCATTCAGGACCTTTGAAAATATTTCATTTCTTTAATTTAAGGTACGATCGAATGAGGAAAATACCGGCGCCGTGGTCGGGGGAGTAGTTGGGGGACTCGTGGTCCTCTTACTGATGTTAGTGCTGGCTGGGTACTTCGTTAGGTAAACATTTTTATGTATTCCTTACACACTTACAGGTGTAATTTGCAAATGTTACTTTATCGATATTTCAAGTCTGGATGAATAATAATTGTAAAACTCAGCAAAGATGTAAACATTATTTCATTAGGTAACAATAATAAAACGTTGTTGGCAAATCGTATGCCGTACTCAACATACGAGTATTTGAGTCAGTTTGTGGAAAAATATATTTCTACGTGAATCATTTAGGAAATACGTCATCAAAAAGAAAATGACCATCAATACCGACCGAATACGATCTACTGACAAACTGGCGAGAGAAGGGGAGACCACTACAGCGACTTCACAATCAACACCCTCGAATGACACTGCTGTGATCCAAGTGTCCAACAGCGGGCCTGTGTAGATGGACTCAATATCAATATAGACAACTTGTTTTGTACGCAATGCAAAGGAATATGAATGTTCGTAGTTAACGTAAAAAGAATGAAGATACTTTTGATAAATGGTCAAATCAAAATTTGTTATAATAAAACAATAAACAAACAAAAAATGCCTTTAGTTTCTTTGTTTTGCTACAGTAATGATTTTGCTTTTGAAAGAAAACAATGCAGATAAAGCTTCAGAGTGACAGACAATGCACGTTATTATAATAGTTTATACTCTTCTCGTTGCATCAAAAACCATTACTATAACTAATATAGAGTATGGTTACATTTATATCTCACAATAATATCAAATCCACCAAACCTAGAAGTTTGACAATTTATAGCAAATACACCCCCCCNAAATAGAGCATTCCCACCCTCATACTAAAGCAAACAATAACCACTCAATGCCCCGTTTATTTTATTCTTTAAGCAACAACTGCCGTTGCGTATGTTCAAACCAAAATCGGGAACTATGTCATTATTGTTATTTCAAAATAAAAATAATACATTTTCGAAGCATAATTTGTCCTAGTGGTAAACGGAGGTCTTCCCAAGAAATGTTTGTCATCATTAGCGCCACAATTGATATATAATTGCAACTGAAAATGAAAAAGGATATCATAGCGTAAACACACCCAAAGGGACAAAGATTAATTCAATATTTATGCAAAAAGACAAAATCTCTTTCCAAAGAATCACAAACCCAAAGGAAAAGAAATCATACACGCACACAAACCACAACAGGCTAACTTAACACCGTGTCTTATATAGTAATACACTAATGTATGCATAGATTAATATGACTCATATAACCATACTCAAAAGACGCTCTCTTGTAGCACACCATTATTAGGGGAGACTAGTATGTTACTACAAGTAATAGAAAATAACATTGATATATTTATGCATTACGGGAGTTATGTGTTACTGAACATAACAAGTACAATGATTATGGAATTTGTTTTGACAAAATGACAATATGCTGTATAGAAAAATACTACACTTTTTGTCAAGTCAATGAAGTCCTTGTAAACCTCTGGGGCTGGCGGCTTCTTCTTTTTTTAAATCATTGCCATAAATTTTCATAGATTTTTCAATAATCCGCTCATTGTTTGTTAGGTACAGTTTATTTGATTTCACAGCTTTTAAATTAAATATCCAACCGGTGTTCATAATACTTACCTAATGAAATCTCATATGTGGCGTTGTTCCAGAGAAACACAATCGTCAACCTAAAACTAGGAAAGTGTTTTAACAATAACAACATACACGAGAATGACGTTGGTATTCATTGGTAGTCACTGATAAGGTTGGTGTTTGTAATCACATATCCTTTTTATCAAAAGCCAAAGACAATTAACCTCATCATGGATCAGTGTACTTTAGTTGGCGTGTGTCATGCTCTGCCCAGTTTTAAGGAACAGCTGATAAGGATAATGTTTTAGTCCTTTACTGTCCGTCATTCTATTGTTGTTGTTACTTATGTTTGTAACAATATATTTTATCACAAATACTGTTATCAACTTTTTTATTGTACCTACGAGTGTGTTGTATTGAAATCAATGAATGAGTATTTTCATCAAAGGAAATTTATATTTTCCAGGACTCCATAAAGTAGATTATAATGTTCTGACGTTATTATGTGATAAAAGGTTTAAATCTATATTCATTAATCAAGAAACTGTCGCTCAGATTGAAGTACATCTGAAAGTCGCCAAGTTACTGGTAAAAACAAGGATGCGTAGACCGGAGCAGGTTACAAAGTTCATTTCAGACCCTATAAAAGAATGGGTTATCTTGTGAAACAGTGCCTATTTAATGACCAGCCTTGTGTACATACCACACTCGACTCCCTGTCGATACAGGACCAGCATATTATTTGGAACCGGTCAGCCACACCCGATTGTCTGTCAAACTGAAGGAGATTGCGTAGGAAATGGTGTCCATATCGGTCTAATTACACACGTTCCAGTTTCATCTGATCTTCCTAAATCAAACTTTTGTTTATTTACCTACGTAGTTGTAAATCATGAACGTATGGCCCCTATTTAGTATTTCAATTTAACGGCCATAGAATACAGTTGACAACAATAGCCCATTAAGTATCACATGCTGGCACTGCACATGGAAACAAATCAGTATATCGTAGAGACAATGTTTGCTGTATACATCATCAGTAACTCACCGCCAGGATAATACTCCAGGGACTCATCCAAAAATGAAGTTTATTGTTCCAATCATATTTCTTCTACAATTCGAGGTAAGAGGTCTAAGGGCACTGAGACAAGCTATCTGAAGTGAATGCATTCCTTTAGTTTCACAGAGAGCATGACTACTAATATTACTTAATATCATGTAAAAATAACTACCTGCAATAGATAGTACCAACATTATTATCTATCAACCTTCGTCATGTGGTAAAATGGCACATGATGTTCTGTTACAAACGTAGTGACAGTTTCATGTGGGGTCCGACAGCCCTGGTCTTAATTCTACTATTAGTTTTTCAAGGGTATTCATTTAACTCTTTCCTTTGTTTACATCACTCTAATTTTATCGATTGTGAGGTCGGATTTAGTTTTTCTTTTGACGTTTCGGTTTTCGTAATTAGTATATCGAACACACAGAATAGGTTTCAAACACAGAAGATGACAAAACAAATCTGAATCTACACTTAACAGAGACGGTCATGCGGAATATCTTTCGAAACATTTAAATGAAAAAAAATGTTGGGGTATCTTGAAATAGTTTCCTCACGTTTGTGAATATTAATCATAATATTTGAACTAGAGTCAATTCAAGTCAATTTTGATTATTATAGTGTCATATATCTCAATTACATCGTACAAGTGTATAGTTACACAGTATAAAATCATATAGTTACATGGCAGAGATCAATCATCTTAATGTAAAAATATATAGACATAATATCATATGTTTGTTAAGAACAGTTATAATACGTAATATATCAATAAATCGAAACAAACTATCACAGGTTCCAATCCAGAGAGCAGGTGATTGGGACAGCCCCTACCTAACAAGCTCACATACATATCATTAGATTGTAACAAAACTAGGCTATATTTAACTCGTTGCTTTTCGGTAAGATGTGCATCCTGTCATCTTGTAACTTGACCTTAGGAAGAACCACGGTAAATGATACAATCGGAATAACGAAGGTACATCAAGTCAATCGCGCACGCTTTAGAAAGCAATTGATCATTCTGTGGACCCCACGAACCTGAATGTATTCTTTTTTCGGCCATCTGGTCTGATTTCTTTCTCTGTACAAAGTTTTCAAACTGATCTCATCATATAAGGTATCTACCCTTTGATATTACATTAAGATACATATATATTTATAATGTTATTGAAAAATATGATACTACTATAATCATGAAATCATTTGTACATATACCTAAAATATAACGATGTACATGTAGTATAATAATGCTAGTATTTTGAATTCAGATCTATCCGATTATCACCTAAAGAATATCCCTGTCTTAGTGTATATAGTTATCTTGTTTATATTAATCAAAGGGCGGGGCATCTTATCCTTAGTTCCATTTATGTTCTTTGATCGAAGACCTAATGTCAAAATGGATATAATTAATCTTGAAATGATTTAGAGAATTATTATAGACACTGAACTTTTTCAATAGTCTTCTTATCCTTATACTGTTCAAGGGTCTCGGTAAATCTTTCCCTTGTTCATATTTTGGTCTAGTTTGATCTATCTTGAGTTCGAACTCTGGTTTTGTTGGTATTCTCTTATCGTTTTATTGTATTGTTATTACGATCAATTGTTGGCCATCCTGCCTGTAAAATAAAGATAATAACGTCATATAGATATTTAAAATCTATCTATTATATATTTCTATTACCAGTATGATGAGTACACACAGTTTACCTGCATAAGGTGAGGGCTTTGTTAGAAGTTGTGAGTAGTTCATTCAATGATTACCGTATTTGTAGTAGCGCATGGTAATTTGTAATATACTGGCAGTCTATACGAGCTGCTGGATCCGGGATACTACACTTCGTAAACTTCACCACAACCTGGGGAACTGACCAAGATAACAACTGCTGTCCGGGCGGTCAACAAAGAAAATGTCCTAGTCCATGTGATGTCCACCTAAACATATGTATCGGTGAAGTCTCTCCTGCCAGGTAAGACGCAATTAGGTACATGATTGATGTTTTTAATTCACAATGGATCTACGTAATATTATGAAAATTGAAAAAGTTACACCGGCTTGCGTATTTTTATGGTAAATAAAACAAGGGTAGATTACTAATCGTTTTCAAAGACATATACTAATTGAATTTATAAATCAGGTCCAAATACCAAACAAGACTCGTTTTAGGTTCTAAATGTCGGCAATATCAACCAAATTTAAATGTTACATCCGGGCATTAAAACGATGAAAGCCAAGACACCTTTTTTGCGTTATTAATTGTGAACATCTATTTTTCAAATGAAGTCGACACCTTTAAAATTATGCTTTCGATTGGAAGACTGATAAAATATGAATAATTTCTTACATTTAATAGAAACTGTCTATACGGACAAGGGACATTCTACTTCCATATGGACGAGACGACCAAAACGATAATATTAGGAGAGGTTCAAGAGTCAATACAAAACCCGTTTGTATACCAATTTGACGCCTGGAAGGTAAGACTGATTCAGCTGTAGAAAGCAAGCTTCAAATAAATTGACTCACGGAGAGAAGTTTATCAATATTTAACGCCTGGATGGTGCAAATTTATAACAGTATCAATATTTAAATATTGGAAGTATCACTCTTTGACGCCTCAATTGAAGGTATCATAGTATCAGTAACTGAAGCCTTAAAACTTTGAACGTTTTATTATGTCAACATAGAACGCCTGGAGGATGAGACGCATATGATGCACTGATGGTAGAATTAACTCGGGTTTAATCACTGTCGCGTTAATAGTATGATATATAATGGCGTGTGATATTTCAGTGAAATCATTATAAACATTTGGAAGGCGTTTATCTTCCTTTACTCATTCACCCCTGAAGACACATTTGAACTCTTCCAATTCAAAGGTTGGAATATTTCATTATGAAATTTCAGGGGGGGGAATGAGTTAACACGAATTTGTCTTCGACCGTTGAAACTCCCCTATCCCATCTCGTCCCCAAGGGGTTATATTTTTAAGGTATTTCCTCTTACCAGATTGCCCCTGTCATACATGCTTGCTTTTCAGAAAAAATGAACACAATAGCTATATCTACATAGTACTTTGTTCTTGCCCGCTAGACTTACCCTTTCTCTGTGTGTCTAGGTGGGTGTGTCGGTGGACGTAGACGTTATGGTGGGAGAGTCGATGCTGAGTGATACCATCACATTCAATCTCCACGACAAACCTGAACATAACGGACGGGTACATAAAGTCGGGCCTCAGCTCTACAACGGAAACAAAACCGGGTAGGCGTACTGGCAATAGTCATCATTAACTGCTTCAACACTTTTCAAAGCATTGGTCTGGTGCACTTTAATATGACCTACATTTGTAGACAATGCCCTACTCCTGAACAAACATTTTATTCTGTGAGTACAAGTTCTTTTTACTACTTTTACAACAGAAAAATCCTTTCTTACAAATGCATCTTTCATATTTCATTTATTAAACCATCTTTATGACAATCAATATATTTGATAGAACTGCTTCCATTTCAAAAGATAATCTATATTATTCATTTCTATCAAATCAATAAATATAATCTCTTTGTATCCATTTGGTAAATAAATAAGTCATCCTTGGTAATACTTTTTATCTCTTGCAGAAAGAAAAAAATATAATGAAATGATTCAATCCGAAACAAGCGTAACATAGATATGCAGCAAAACCTGCAAAAGTTCAATACGTTTTCCCACTTTAGTATTCGACTGTGTCCCGGAAGATGGTAAAACAACAATATCAACTTGTATAGACTGCTCTATGTAAAATGTAACTTTATCATTTAAGCAATCCCTTGCCCCATGGATGAACTACTTCCGGAGTTATCCAAAGTCTAAAAAGAACCCTTCTCGATTATTTTATGTTTATATAGACATAGTATCAGTAAAGCGATGTTCTCTTCCAAAATAAAGAATAAACTGTTTAGTTTTCTAGTTAGCTCGCGATGTGATTTTGTCTGATAAACCTATCACATCAGTACTTTATCACATACAATGTTATATCAGAATGAAGAATTGTTTACATCGATCATGGTGTCATTACTAAGAAGTGCCACTCAACTTTCCTTCACACATTGCACCCATGTTTATTCCCACGTCGTCCAGCTAGTCGTACACACACTGATGCTGGGGTTTCAGGTTGATGGTGGCCCACTCTGTAGCCTGCGACCCGTTCCACTTTGGCGACTGTTCCATGTTCTGTCTACCGGACCCAGCTATGTACACGTGTGATGGTGATGGCAACAGACAATGCCTTCCTGGTAAGTTAGAGATCATCAGTAAGGTACAATGTGGACTTATAAGATGTTTTCGACTGTATTCAAACACAGTTTATGATACAAAGAATGTAGAAGTGCGTGCCATTACTAGGGATAGCCTTAGACCTTCACATCCACGGTTAAATTGAGGTTCCAGAACGAGTGATTGTTGGTTATCATGTTAATCTAACTCGAGTTAACTCATTTTCAAATTGTATATATACGCGAGATTACCAAGGGTCTTTCATAATTTGAAATAAAAAAACTAAGGAGAGTAAGACAAACATGAAAATCAACTTTTTTTTCTTCCAAAAGTTTAGATATTATATCTAGAAAACAATGTATTTCTCTTGGAAATACTTTATTTCTGTTTTCGATCGGGGAAACCATTGCTATGAATCACAATAGGATAACGTCCCAATGTAGTATTACTTGACGTTATAATTAGAGGGTTTACAAATGAAATAATGCCCAGTGAGTTGCCTACTAGTGGGCAATCAAATTGTTTACCAACTTCTAGCAGGTTTATCAAATGAGTGAGGAAACATAGTTAAAGTGGATGTGGTAGAAAACCCTTTCATATATTCTTAAACAGAAAATTGGGGAAATGCGTAGGTCTGTCGGATGATGCTATACGACTGTGTTCTGATAGACACACGAATTGAAGCCCTCCGTATCGCAGGAATTCCAAATGATAGTTCTACGACTGTCCTAATTTCTTCGAAAGTTCCAACATCTTTTCTGCGACTGTCGTAGGTTGAGCGTAAGATAGTCGTGATGCAATCGTACGATTGTCATGCGACAACCAAGCATCATAAGACTTTCGTGTGGCGATTTTGACTTCAACTGCCTTGACATGTTTTCCCATGACAGTTCTAAAACACATATTTTATATGTGAACTCTACTACGCAGCTTCCAAATTCACTAATACTAAACATAAGTCAGACCCTCCTGTCGTAGTCCCGTTAAAACCGTACGATACACAAAATTGTACGTTGTATGTGAAAGGGGCTTAAAGTCTTCCTCATTCAATGCGTTTCTGGATGTTGATATCAAAGGTTAACTTTTCCTCTCGTGTTGGTAAAAGTCTACTCATCTGCCTCTCTGCTCTATTTTTATGATCAATCACCGAAAGAGAATTGTGTATTTTTTCGTTACAGATGTTGATTGCAGATTTGAATTTTCCAACGATCAGGCAACGTTGACTTCTACAGATCCGATAGAAGTAACAGACAGGCACGCGTCTTTTTCTAGCGACATCCCTGACAGTAGTGTGGGTTCATTGTATTTAAATGAATACAGTCTAACCTCACCTGGGCCCCCAACTGTTAGTTCAACTGTTATTACAGCTTACACAGAGTCGTTTAAGGAGTCACCAACAACTAGCCCTTACCCTAACTCTTCACCGCAAGTTGATGTAGCGACGCCTCAACAAGTTGAGACCTCTGACAGTCACGAGATGGCCATAGAATGGGAGACAACTGTTAGTACAACTGTTAGTACAACTGCTAGTACAGCTTACACCGGGTCGTTTAAGGAGTCATCAACAACTAGGTCAGACAGAACTTCCGAGAAGACGTCACGCTTGTTCGATGTTAGTGAAAACACTGTCCCATCAGATAGGTCTTTGAACTCTTCACCGCAAGTTGATGTAGCGACGCCTCAACAATATAGTGATCAAACTATCAGCTATATGTCCAATTCCGCAACGCCTGCAGTTGATACCTCTGACAGTCACGAGATGACAATAGAATGGGAGACAACGACTGTCGGCGAAACAAGAACGAAAGAGGAAATGTCAAATAATATTGGTGATGTTTCTACAGAAACCACTCTTGATACAATTACAGATACTACAAGGGTAGATAACTCCGTATCAACATTCACCCCGTCGACCGTTGAATCTGCCACTTTGACAGTACCACATATATGTACTGGTCACATAGGAGTATCGGAGGAGAACGTTGGTATGTTAGAAGCTACTGTTTCCCAGCATGCAACATACAATAGTGTACCCATTGCTAGTTATAGTAGTTCGTCAAATCCTGAACGTAGTGTAAATACCATTCCAGAGCATGACTTCACTTCTTTTACAACTATAGGTTTGTCGTCAGTATCATCTAATCGAGCCACTGCAAAGTCAAGTACATCATATACAGATTTTAATGGCGATATTCAATCATTCACAACAAAATATCAATACTACCCCTCAGATGTCACACCGGATCCGGATGTAACACACATACCGGAAACTACGGACTCTGTACCTACTTTGAATACGTTGAATTATGATGCTTTCGTTACTACAACAACGAGTGACAAGAAACTGTCCTCCAAACCATCAACACTCAAGACGAATGCTATGTATAGTGTGACATCGTTCACGTTTGGTCCGGTGTCACAGCAGTCGACTGAAGATGTACCATCGGGAGAGACGGGCAGTATGTCACCAGTCGCCGCCAGTGGGATTTTGTCAACTTTAGCTTTACATCGCAATACAGAAAGTAACGCTGAAATCTCATCAGTGACTGAGTCTGGAGTAGTGACATCTACAGAGCCAACTGCCACTTGGGTGGCCTCTACATCACAATTAGTTGTATCCAGCAAAGAAGGTAGTTCAAACAATATTGAGGCAACTACCTTTGAACAATTTATATCTAGTGCAGAAAGTAGCTTGTCCAACTCAGAATTTACCTCTACGAAACAATCGGTTGTGTCTAACTCTGGTGTAGCAATTACCAAAGGAGAGGCATCTACTGAGGAGAGTGGACAAACCAAGTATGGCATCACCTCTACAAAACAACTATATTCATTCACTACAGAAAGTAATCCATCTAACGGTCAGTTAACAACTTCCAAAACAGTGACATCCACTACGGAAAATAGTCCATCCAATTCTGAATTTATATCTACTAAACAATCAGCGGTTTCAAGTACAGAAAGTAGTCCATTCAATCCTGAAGTGACTACTGCAGAAAAGCAGTATCTGTCCAACTCAAATACAGCGGCCGCAACAACAAATGCAATAATAAATACAACGGCGGGTCCATTGCAGACAAGAGAATACATACACGCGAGTGTAGAATCATATTTGTCCACTGAAAATCCTTCACGCCCATTAACAACAGTACCTTTTGGTATTACCAAAGAAGATACTCCTCGCCCGTTGTCCTCAACAATTACTCCTAGCATAATTCATACGCTGAAACAGAAGGACACAGTCCCAACATCAACAACGTCAGGGGCGCCAAATATCGCCACATCGAAAACAGACGATCTGCAATCACCAAGCACATATCCAATCGAAACAACAGAACCGTCTGTCACGACTAACTACTCCTCTGTGAAGTCTTTATCTACATCCGCCAATACAAATCAAGTCACAAAAATAGTTCCAGTCAGTACTGAATCTTTCAGTCAATATTCAAGCCCCACAACAAGTGGTATAGATACAACAACCACTTCTCCAACACAACAGGAAACGGATCATTCTATACGGAACACTGTGTCCTCTGGTAAAACATCCTTGTCAACTCGGATTCCAACTACCACTCATCCCGTGTCTTCTGGAACCTCCACGACTCCGCGGTCCTCGTCCTGTACAGCTGTCGTACTTTACCCCGGTGGCGGTATGGTATATCCGTATATCTGTTGTCTTGTTCACAGCCTTATCCTCTTGTATCACTTTAGCACTAGGTCCTTCAATGTCCTTGATGTTGACAACTGCCAGGAATAATACTAGTGACCCTGAAGTTAGTTCCTACTGTTCCGAGTTCCTAGCTCCGTTAAAAGAAGCCAAACTTGGAATAAAATAGTTCTGTTTAGGAAAATAGCATAACCAGCATCATAATTGTAAAAACAGCATATCACTTCAGAAAAGGCTCTTCTACTTCATCAACGACACCCGTCCTGTTAATTTAAGGCAAAGCCATGTAATGTCACGTACAAATGTACTCATAGCGAAAACGGGATATTGACAATAGACAAACAAGGTACGCATAGTAAATGTTATTAGCACATATCTTTTCAAGTTTTTCCATCTATCCTTGCGCAACGCAAATCTAATGCGCGTAGTAATATACAGTGTATAGTTCAAGAACAGTAACCAACCCACAACTTTTCAGGCACAAGTTCAAAATATCATAACTTCTATTAAGGAATTAGTCTTAGCTGGAACTGGAACCCAAACTCCGATCACTTTTTTAAACGACCCCAGTTCCGTATTGCAAAATACTCGGAGACATTGCTCCCTGAGAACGCAAATTCTAAGGCTCATACATCTCATACTTGTGCCGACAAAGATTAAGATTAACGTAATTTATATAAGGTATAAGTCTAACATGGAAATGAAATTCAGACTCAAGTTATGTTTTTTCCAAGTTACGTATTTCTGTAACGAAACTAGTAACATAGGAATACATTTTGAAAGCATTCATTTTAATATTTTCATAAAAAATAAAATTCGAAGTAGGTGTCAAATGGTCCGATATGAGATATCTTGTACTAGCAGACGGTTGTATATATATCAATATGCTATGTCGAGTAAGCTTCTTCTAAGATACGCTGTACATCGTTATGTCGATATGATGTGTCGAGTAAGCTGCTTCTAAGATACCGCTGTGCATCGTTATGTCGATATGATGTGTTGAGATAGCTTATGTAGTGTACTACTGTGTCCTTTCTCGATGTGGTTTCGAGATAGCTAGTGCTACCATACTGTACATCGATATCTAGATATGATGTGTCAAGACATATAGTTTAGTTTACTGCTATACATCACTATAACGACGTGACTTGTCGGATTAGCTGGGGCTAGAGATCATAAGATAGCTAGCCCCAGGAATTTCGAGGATTGATGCTAGTGTACTATTGTACAGAGGTTACTGACACCAGCTAAGTAGAGAAATCATATCAATAATGGTGTACAGCAGTTAAGAAACACCAGCTATGTCAACACAACAAATACTGCTGCACATCACTATCTAGCTGATGCTTCACTATCTCGATATGATGTGTCGAGTTAGCTGCTGCTAGTACATGTGGTATACTGCCGTACAGCACTATCTTGATATGATGTGTCGAGTTAGCTGCTGCTAGTACATGTGGTATACTGCCGTAAAGCACTATCTCGATATGATGTGTCGAGATAGCTACTGCTAGTACATGTGGTATACTGCCGTACAGCACTATCTCGATATGATGTGCCAAGTATTTTATATACAATATAATACACAAAGGTTACATTATTTATTTACTTATGTTGTAGTTTATACACGCCATGTTGTACAATTTACACAAAAAATACATTTATTATTACTTAAAATACATTGTGAACATAATTATGTATATATGTTGTAGACTTAAAATCAAAGTGACTTTTTTTTTACTTTGTGCTAAAATCAAAATAACATACATGTGTGGTGTAGCATATACAATTTTTGGTTCATGCATTGTATACCGGGGGTCTGTCGCCAAGTCCAGCATTTGCCCTTCCTTGGTAAGATCCATGTTCGCCCATTGATAATGTCGCCCGTAAAATGTAAGACATATATAGGGTATGCTGTTACGATAAATTCGCCCTAAGTGCAAAGGGCGAAAAGGCGAAATTAAATGAAGCGAAAGTTTCCCGGTATACATTATATATACTAACCTCTGCAGGAAAATCTCTGCTGAGCGTCCGATTCGCTGGCGGCGAGAAAGCTGTGTCCGTGGTCGCAATTGAAAAGGAGTTGGTGGAATTGTTGGTCAGTGCCGGATACATGGTGGACTCAAAGGAGGTCAAGGCAATCCAAACAAGTTTTGACGGGTAAAGTTATATAGAGCATACTATTCGTTACAACTTTTGAATAGACTGGGTGAAGGTCGCAAACGTAGTTCTGGTGTGTTGAGTGCTTTCGGAACAAATCACCTAGAATACCACACAGACGTGGTAACGGTGACTGAGGAATATCCCCCCAGAAGTAAGCCCAATGTATATAAATACAGATGCCTCGGTTGAACTATACAGCCTTCTTGTAGAATATATTTGATAAAACATTGTTTCAAAAGACTGCGATCATTGGCGCCCGATTGAACATGTTTGCAATTTGATCCTTTGAATATATATTGCTAGGATGAAAAATGTAATAAAGTTGAATTGAATTGCATTGAATCTAAACAAACCAGCAAGAATAACCAACGTCTCTCACACAGGTTTATAACGCAAGTTTGTGTTTCAGATTAACGATCGTGAACATTACCATAGACGGCGCAGACCTGGCTCTGAGCGCCACGGCGCTGGCTGATGTGGGAGACAGGCTCTGTAAAGAGGCATCCATGTTTCTCGTACAGGTTCGTTTTATCATTGTTTGTTTGTTTAGGGTTTTACGTTTTCAGTCTATTACATGTACGAGACACGATAGCTGTATTATAATCACAATAAGATGAGTGCTTACAGAAACACCACCGAAAATCAGTTAGGAAAATAGAAAAATATAAACGTCCTGATTGTTGTAATGGTGCAACAGATTAATTTAGGATTTCCCTGTGTCCCCTCAGCAGAAGACCAAAAACAAAACTCCCGGTTTATAGGGAAACCACATCAGTTACCTCCTACAACTACACGCTGCGACACAGATCTGTTTTCTCTGAACTTGCTAGGGTATTAATAGTAAGATGCTATGTTGACTATATACATTTATGTAATTTGAAAAATAGTGACTTGAAGTCTATATTTGAAATGAGCAACATCTTAACCAGTTCTGCTTTTCTCTCAGTGTAGATTTGTGATATCACCCAATCACACTAAATACATACAGACCAGTCGCAAATTTGTAGCATGTCAACAGAATGGTAATACTAATTCCGTATGTTTCTATCAGCCTCCCTCCCCCGCCCGTACTGAGGACACGGACGACGGCAGTGGTGTGATAGCAGGAATAGTGGTACTGGTCGCCTACCTTACAACGCTGTTTATAATAGCCGTCATCTTGGTTAGAAGGTGAGAGATCGAAAGGAACTAAGATGGGAAGATTATGTTTTCTGGTCAAATACGAATAGATTCAAAAATATGTTCCCATAACTACTGTCCATATTATTGTACGCCAATTACATTTTAACTGTGATGAGTGTCCAGAATCGCGCTGCTGTAGACAGAGAACGTCCAGTTGATTGATTGATTGATGGGGCTTACCGTCCTTGTTCCGGTTATAACCGAGCCTAGGACAGCAAAAAGGTGGGGGGAGGGGGGGATGGCTGCAATTCCGCCTTTTGAGTGCTGCCAAAAAGTTCTAAAATGGAGGATATTGGTACCTAACGTTCTAGTTTCTATAATTTAGGGATTGCAATTTGGACTGTCACTTAAAGCCCTACACTAGTCTAAATATATGACCTTTACTCCGTGGCGGCTAGCAATTAGCCTACTCTTTTTCGAAAGCCAGCAGAGTGATCTTTAACGTGCAAGGCGTGACTCTCCTTACACCGGACCCCCATGTAACGTCCCTTCGGAAGGACAAGAAGGTTAGAGGACAGCGTGAGGGAGTATGAACAAAGGTCTTATGAAAATAGCTTGTTAGAGTTTGTTGGTACATGTATGATATTTTTAGGAGGATTTATAAACAAGAATTGTATAACCTCCAGTGACGCGCCCTTCCTGATTTAAGTGACAATTGTTTTGAAGGGGGAATTCTATTCTATATTTTCATCTTCAATACAAAATACTATAGTCTGTAGGATTTAGGTAGTCCAAAACATCAATAACTTTAAGATATTGTAATTTCAAATTGCTGCAAAAAAGTTCTGAAAAAGTTTTTCGAGTGGACTGTACTTCAATATTTTAAAGATAAGTGTTCCATACGGTGGCTGATATGTGCCATTTCGTTGTTTAGTCTTTTCGTCCCGAAAGGAAGACAATTAAAAAATCTTAATTCTCGTTGTGTCGTCTTTTCGCCCCGAAAAGACGAAACAAAAAAATGGCACATATCAGCCACCGTAGTTCAATAAGAAGATAAAGATGTTGTACATGAAGGTTTAAGCTCTTGGCTATTTACAGGAAAATGTCGAATACATAGAAGAAATTTAGATATTGGGGGCCAACCAAGTCTCTGATTACAGTTTTAGGTAGAATATGGTTAATCAATTAGCATCGTCTTTCTTTCTATGTTCAGAAAATACCGCGAAAGGCACAGGGTATCGAGTAGACCTATGTCGGAAGTCTCCAAGGTGACGAAAACCGCGGAGCAATTGTTGGACCGACCGGAAACAGGCATGACGGGACTCTCATCGGAATATGAAGAATCGAATTGCTGAACTAAATCCGTTCTATCTACGTGATAAATGTCAAGAATGTGTGTAGGAAAACAAGTTGTTCCATTAAAACACATTGCTAATGATAAGGCGTCCTGGGGTTTTCTCTCAATAATCTATGGATCATACAAAATCAATTTTGAAATAAAATCGGTTTATACTTACTATTTTGTGTTTCTTATTAACAAACCGTACAAATGACACGTGATGACACACAGAAAAGTGACCATTGACATGTGATGACACACAAAACAGTGACCATTGACACGTGATGACACACATAAAACTGGCCACCGTACTAATAACACGTGTTGACAAACAACTGACCATATAAACGGTACAAATGGCACTTGATGATACACAACACAGTTAGAGTGACACGTATTGACAATAATAATATCGAAAATTGAGTTACTTCCCTTCGAACGGTAAGCTCTGTCCGACAACTAAATAAGTATCTTGATTGAATCTACATCATGGGTACACAATTAAAAAACGATCACTTTGATTTGTATTTTGTATTTTCGTTATGGTACAATGATGTATTTTCATGTCGGAAATAAATCCGAAATTAATGTTAAAATTCCATACGCCAAGCTTTGTATAAATCCGTGAGACTGGAACTTAACTGTGAGGCCTAGACAGGTCCTTGATTAGTTCACGAGACCATGACTTGTCAGCGAGTCCGTAGGTTTGACTGATCAGTACGTCCGTAACTTATGGGCTAGCTAGGCCAATTGTTACTGATCCATAGCCAGTTGTAAGCAACATATCAGGTCCATGAAGGAAATGGAACATTATTTACTTAATCACGGAACGGAATTGTTCAACTGAATGTCGGAACAATATAAAGTGAAATTTAGGAAAACAAATACATTAAGATATACTTATTTGATTTCGTGATTTAAACAGCGCAATTTGTTGTCTTTGTTTTGTTGTGTGATGATGTGAAAATTTGGATTTTTGTTTGAAAAATTCTACAAAAATTAACAAACACACGACATAATCTCAAAGAAAAAGAGTCCAACGGTTAGACTAGAAATATCCCCGGAAACAAAACAAACACACGACAAATTCTGGATCGCTCCCCGAGTTTTGGATGTAGTAGACATTACGGTACGACAGAAACCGACTATGAGGAAAGTTGTCCGTAGGAAAGCCACACGACGCATGTATAGCAAGCAGTAGGCCTACAGTCCCAGTATCTTCTGGAAACAAGCTTGCACGTCATAACGAAACAATATTGATGACGTCATGGAAGGTGCCATGCAACATATGCGCAAAACGTCACAATAATCACATGACTACCGTCGGCACAGGACTTGGAGGCATTCGGGTGAGTACAATTTCATATGGAATTTATTTCTACAGTTGTTACCAACTTTGACTGATATAACAATCGATTTAAAATAAGATATTAAGCTCGCATAAAAAGCTAACAAAGCACTTAAGCCATTGAGCTGGTGTGAACTGCAATTTCCATACGAGCTTACCAGTAATATTGGTCGTTAACGCAAACTTCTACGACTGGCCGCAGTGGACTGGCCGTAACTATTTTCTTGGTAATACTTCGACGAGTATATTTATGTTGCACTAAAACAAAAACTAACCAAAATGCTTTTGCAAATACATGTCCGAAATTACTGACTTCATCTCCGTCCCATAAACAATTATTCAAAAGTCATTTATTTCGGACTAACGTAGTTGATACAGAATGTGACTAACGCTTCATACCCCGCCCCCTCCCCCTCCCTAGCTCATAAACGTTATTTATGATTGCGTGGCTACCATCAGACAAAAATTTTAATATTGTATAGGAAATATGAAATACACAAATTAAGAATTTAAGAAAGCCGCACATCTCTAAAGCATAATGTTTAAATATTACTTAGTAGTTATATTAAATACCTAATACTATTATTCTTAATAGACCAGCGTTGGTTTCGGAAATGGCCAAAGCCAAAGGAAAGCCGGTTGTGTTGAAGAAAGCGTCTACGACTTCGGTGTCGTCGGAGGAGTGTGACGCCCCAGAAATACTTCTCAACACCATTGCTCTGCGACGTACACCGGCGAGACACAACCTCGTCATCATCACAAAGGATGACGACACGGACGAGGAGAAAGAGGAACAGGATGAGAAGAAGGAGAAGTAAATCAGTACAGGGAGGGAGAACCTAAAGATCTGACGATGTTAGCTGTAATACGAGCATAATCAATAAGTGCAGATAAAAATGACAATTATAATGTAGCATCACAACATTGTTTAAATCCTGTTTATTTTTATCTCAGCGAAACATGTATAATACCAATAGAGTAAAGTATTGTCATCCAAATACCGCTGTTATTTCTGTTGTCTAGCACATCGTGGGATAATTTCTGCAATACCCTTCGGACTGATGCGTGTTAAGCATTGATTCGCTTTTAAAATATGTTTTCCTACCAAATAGGTGAAATAGCACACTGTTCATTCGACAAGCTAACATCCCAATAACTAACAGACTATATAAATAGGTGTGACGCATAGGGAATAATAGCGCACGGAATCATTCCGAGATCCAAGTATTAGCCCGAGAGCTCAACTAAATACCTCGAGGGCTGATATTGTCGACAGTTGCAGTACATAAAGGACCATCTTTATAACCTTCATCGCATATCTTTAATAATAAGAAAACAAACAATACAAATCAATAACATTTTAAATAATGTATCAGATTAAACAAATGAAAAACTTTTTCCACAAATTAATGAAAACCATTGAACTCACTCGCTCTACATGTCACCATCAAGGTGTATATAACACTCAACCATCTCCTCTGTGTCGCTTCTAATGTTAAACGTTATACTCCCAATGACATTGTCCATGACAGAAAAAAAACCAGTGGCTACTGCGGCAAAGTAAATGATACTTTTGTTTAACCAACACCTCTGCAGTTTAATGGATGGCTTCAGATTTAAAACATGTTGATGGGTACAATAAGAGTAGAAATAATCGCTGACTAGCTTGCATAACCCGTGAAACATGAATGTTCGAAATCAGGAGAAACTCAATTGATATAAACATCAAAAAGCAAGAAGTCGTGTGTGACCTCCAAACTCGGTACCATAAGTTTGTTCAAGCATTGCTGGTTTCTTTACTGCTCGCCAAGGAAGGGGTTTACCATAATTCACAGCGTGGACAATGAACTTCCGGTCGGAGTCTTGAAGACGTCGCCGTAAAACCGCACATCTCAGGAATATTTCCTTCCGGGTCATGTTGACACTGTTTGAAGGCAACACCTTCTTGTTCTTTTCACGACTAAAAGCTCCTTTTCCTTTGGTCACATCTTCGTGTCCTTTTGGATTTTTATGACAAATACTTGTATTGTCGGCAATATCATCAGTTTTACCGTCTGGTAGTGGAACTAAGTTGATTTTCTGTATCTGGTTGGTGTTGCTGACATTTCGGAACATGAAGTGATAAGACCGGAGCCGTTGGCAGGGGTACGCGGGACAGGAGCGCCTGTGGATACAATCACTTCCGGTTGTCGTAGGATGGCGTTCCAGGAGAGCTTTGTAGTGTTGTCTGGAGCGTTCCTCGTCTGTAATGTTGGTTGTTAGCTTATTAAAATCAGTATTCTCGTAATAGGTAGACAAGTTCGACAGGTTTGTACGGCTTGCCGCTTCTTCCTCCTTGATTTTCAAGGTCATGCGTGTCACATCTCTTAAGTACAGCTCCTGTTGACTGTCAAGTTGACAGAACTTGTTTTTGATGTTTTGTTGGCTACGCCTCCGGAGCAGCACCTCGTGACGCCCGGACACAGTAGTGCCGGCAAATGTACCGCCTTTTCTTGTAGACATGAGTCCACTGTCCAACGCAGAGTACCAAAAGCCTTAATGTTATAAGTATATCAAACACTATATATGTGACACACTCCGAGCCACGAAACCTGTAGTTCGGTCTGGTCTCAGTGCCAACGGTCAACCTAAGGATCAGCGTTCTTCACTTCATATCAGGCTAATCGAATAAAATTAAAGGTATATCAAAACGATCAATATTGTCAAGGATCAATTTCCTTTCCACAGTCTTGTTTCGATCCGATGAAGTGTGATGGATCAATGTATAGGTCGTCTGCTCGGTTCCACTGCCAGTCCGGGTGTACCGGAGAAATAGTCCCGGGTAGCTACAGTCGCGGATCAATGACGCTAATTCTTAACATAACAGCAAGACATCTGCTTATAAAAAGACTATAAACTAGTCATACACGAGAAATTAAATTCTCGTTCTTGAGACACAATTACCATGTTTCATACGCAATGTTTTATATTTAGATGTCAATATACCCACTGTTTGTCCCAGCCTCCGTGTACAGGGTATACACATTTGATAAAATCAATAGATCTTTTTGTTTGGATATTGTATAATAGTAGAAAATGGCACGAGTGACAATATAAAATTATGTCGGTATAAAAGGTGACATTTACGTGTCCTACAGGCCTGAAGTTCTACAGAAATGTATGTCCCGTCAGCTCTTTTTGTTTGACAGCCAATGATTCATCGATTTTCTCACTCTAAAAACACATACTCTTCATGAAAACAGCTACGTGTAGTGTTCGTTGTAATATCATAATTGAAAATCCGTTTTAAATATTTTATTGACGGATTGAGCATTGTTTTGTTGTGATACCCGTAGAAACTAACATGACTACATGTTACCAATTCTTGTCTGCGGATGTGAGGTTTCGGTTTGACTCTATTCTATTTCTACTATAAAAAGTCTACTTGGAAGTAGCGAGTATAGTAACATTTTTAACTTCCTATGTCAAGAGAAAAGCCTTACGCTCCAAAACTTCACGGGAGATATCAGCTCAGAGACGAAATCGTAATTGTTTATCATTTTACAAAATAAGTAACAGATTATCAAACCGACTTTCTCACATTCGTTTATATAAACTGTAGCTAATTATAATAAAGTATACAATTCCACTTAAGCAATATTAAAAAATTGCATGTCATTTGAGCATGCCTGATGACCAACTAACACAGTATTATTGCTGTATGAAGATGTGTAATAATTGTGACGTCCTGTTCAGTGTTCTGTGAAGGGTGGTGAAGGCTGCTAGTTATCCGTCTGTATAACGACATCATTTGATTGGGTATCTTTGTACATCTACCAGAAATGTAAATGTTGCTGCGTTAAGTTCATCAGTCGGGTCGTTATGGAACAATTTTTGAGTTGCTCTCGACACTCCAAACATACCAACTGTAACGAATTAGCCGGTCCCTGTATATGTGAGATCATCGATCGCACGATCATGAATTCCAAAAAAATGTCTGTCACCGACTATATTTACATTTGCGCTGCAACCTACCATATGAACACTACCAGCGGAAATGCATTTCATTTGTGTATATTTACCATCGAATGGCATTGCCACTATATAACCCTACCAAATTCAGTTGGCATTCATATAGGCTATGAATGCAATTGACCAATTGTTGACGTCATCATTAGTATGACGTAATAATTGTTTCGTTGGATACTACCGATCTTCCCCGGGCGATGGCTGTTCTATTCAATGAACAAGCATACAAGATACATACATTATTTAAACTAAATACCAAATAACAATAAGTGTAATTGATTTTTTATGAGATGAACAGATTCCAAAAATGGTGAATATAAGTATTGAACTGCTTTCCATTGTCATTCATAGGCTATATGAATTCCAACTGGACAAGGGCAAATTCAACATGAAGCGCGCCAACTGAACGCAGTTCAATGCTTAAATGAAAGCAAAAAAAAACCTCTCGTGACGTAACAGTTGGACAACTTATGACGTCATAGATTAACTTTTTTCAATGAGAGTATTGTCGCTTCGCTTCGGATAACATGTAGAAAATGTCCGTGCGCCAAACGCTCAAATGACTACGGTTAATTATTGGCGCCAATTTTATCAAAATATGGCAGTTTTGCAAATATCGTTGAAAGGACGACGCATATAAATAAATTATTTATTTAGGAAAAAAAAACAACTAAACAATTGTTCTGTAGTAAAAATGTAAATATATGGATTGAACTTGTTTTAATTATTATTTTCATGCCGCAATATGAATGTAATCGATTGGCGTTCATACCGGCATGAAAATGAAAAAAAAACGCCATTCAAACCCTATATAAATTTGTTATGACAATAATAGTTTACTTAATTCGTAACACTTTATAATTAATGGCTTGTATCTATTAGCTATACTTACTGAATCAGAACAAACAAACAAAACCGCTGCTTGTTGCACCGCTTTGTTCCTACCAAGGCCCTGTCCTGGACTGCTTACTCTATAATTCTGGTTACGTATATATATTGCAGCATTTCTTTTAACACAATTAATTTTCACCATTGATATTAGTATCATCTTGTATATCTGTCTTATACACCTTTCCTCTCAATATTTTACAAAACGAATTAATACCATTAGTATAGTGATTTCAGTATCATCTATTAATTCACGCTATATTAGTGTATATTCTGTCAATTTTAACTCGGTGCTATATCAGCATTGTATACATATTCCACTCTATAGAGATTTAAACCTTAGTCGTAATTAATACTTGTGTAATATGCAAGTCTTCACTTTTTGTTCACTATTAAATTATGTCTTCTTGAGTATCTTATTCTTAATATTACTCATCCGTTGTCGCACTTCATGCTGCTTTGGTTTGAATTTTAATTGCATATCAACCCTGTTCTTCTTCTTATGATTATTTGACGTTCTTTAAGTGTCATATCTTTGGGGCCTCTGTAGGTATATATACATGCATAGTTAACCATCTTACGATGTCTATAATATATTATAACGCTTAACTAAGTTGTTAAGAAAGGGCATTTATCATGTTTTTGAAACATATGCCCAATCCTTTTGCTTTTAATATGGCAATACAATACGTTTAAAACTTAACCCGGACTCACTCCCAACTTACCCCGGACTCACTCCCAACTTACCCCGGCCTCACTCCCAACTTACCCCGGCCTCACTCCCAACTTACCCCGGCCTCACTCCCAACTTACCCCGGCCTCACTCCCAGCTTACCCCGGATTCACTCCAAACTTACCCCGGACTCACTCCCAACTTACCCCGGACTCAATCCCAAATGAATCCACTCCGAACAAGGGCTAGCTATATCCCCTGGTTCCGACCGAGCTTAACCAGTCCTCTATATTTGGTAATTCATAATTAACGGGTTACACACATGTTCCCTACTGTTTCAACACTCGTTTAGCCGAATTCGGATTTCAGACTTTTCGGCCCCTACCATCACCGATAAGTCCTAATAGGATGAATGAAACAGCTACCGTGAAATTATTTGTTGACATACTGTATCTATTACCAAATTAAGTCCCATATGTGTCTTAGGTTCATAACACGTTTTTAAATATATTACAAGGCTTCCAATAAATCCTATATGTAAAAAGTGTATTTTCAATAAAATTGTTGAAAAGAATTCTTTGTAAACTGGCCCACCATTTGCAGGCCAAACGCTTAGGCCAATGAAACCTTGAAATATGTTATTTCTCAAAGAATATAGTCACTTCGTATAATAGGTAGTATTTGACAAGTATCCAGATGAGTTAATGATTTAGAAAATGTATTTTTATTACTCTTAAAATGGACTTAACAATTATAATATCATATCGCAAGCTCTGGCTTCATTACCGATGACGATGGGCCAACAGTTGAGACAGCTATATATATAAGGTATTTATATATAACTTGTTGCGATTGCTCTTTGATAAATTTAAATGATATGTTTCAGAGGAATGCATAACTTAGGGCCTGTGTATGCGGAACAACCGGTTTTACCGGTTTTTAAATATAACAATTTCGGGTATAAATCCTGGCGGACCTGCAAATGTTTAAAACAGTCAAAAATCAGTTTTAATAGCAACACTACTACTTCTACAAGACAATCATTTGTTATCTAACGCGTTGTATCTTGAGACAAATAAAAACGTATGTGCGCCACCGTTTCATCTCGAACTGATATAATTTAATATCATACTTATAAATGTATATTTTATGCAGTGGCGGATCCAGAGACCTATCTGGGGGATTTATGGTTATATCAGCCCAAGGTAAAAACGGCCTCGATTTACCCAAGTGTCCCTATGTCTACATGGAATATACATAAAAGCTATAATATAATCCCTTTCTTTGGGTTTCATTTATATATCAACCTCTGAACATATATTTAAATTAATAAATTCCTTTCTGCATTTCCTTGTCTCAGTCGCGAGTTCCATAAGGGGAGATAACTTGTACTAATGTAATCTGTTATATACGTCGCGTAAGATAGTTATCATTTTGTGTGTAGTCTGAAACACTGACATTATTTAATTAGATTTAATTATTCGAATGATTATTTTTTATATGATTAATGAGGAAGTTAGATACATAGTAGGGCCGAATTTAGCTTGGGCCGATTTCACTTGGGTAAAATAGGTCTGGCCGATATTACCTTGGGCCGAAATAGCCAAATACCATCTGGGGGGGGGGGGGGGGGTCCAAATTTCCTGGGGAGGTTTCCAGGTGGGGCAAAGTTGAGGAAAATGGTGAAAATGAATGATTTTTAAAGAAACTTCTCAGGCTTTGGGGGGTTCCTGAAGCCCAAAAACCCCCTCTGGATCCGCCACTGTTTTATGTAAAGATAGCATGATTTCACCAGCTATCGTCGGTGTTGTATGAGAGTTGTCTAACTTACTCTTGCTCTTCAAAACTAAGTCAACATTAGTTCAACTTCCGGTTATGTTAAATAGCGAAAGTTTAAAACACGTGTTATTGTTTATAGTTTGAAAAGGAGTTAACAGAAAGTATTTACAATTTTATTTGAGTTCCAATCTCTTCTTAGAGGCTCATAACCTCCAGAAATGGCTGAGTTTGTTCAACAGAACATCGAAGGGATGATTCCCGAGTTGGAGCAGATGGAACGAGTTGGTCTGTTTACAGCGGCAGAGTCTAGGTAAAGTTATAACGCTGTCCAACATACACAGAAACCAGAGACCGTTACTGTACCGTGTACGTCTCTTGCAGAGAGCTATATCTCTAAATCCCGATATAGTTATCCGTATCATATTAACTGTGTACCGAGACAGGACTTGTAATCATGAGCGACATATGAACAACCGATTTCCATGATTGACACTTCAACAGGGTGGGCACAACGGCGCATATTGGTAATAATCCTGCATTCGGGTAACAGTTACCCATTTCAGTAATAATTTTATTACTAAAATGGGTAATAAAGTGAAAAAACCCACACAAAGTTCTTTTACATATTATGAACAAAAAAGGACGTCATTCTTTCAACATAATCAAATAAAAAATACAATGAGGTACATTTGTGTACAAAAATATGTAAATTCAGATGTCTAAATTTTTGTGAAAATGACAAATCATGCTCACCTCCATTGCTTATAGTGTGTTGTAGAGTAGCTATAAATAGAACACATAAAAAAATCATGCTCACCTGTCACATTTGCACTGGTTAGTCCCATTGACTACACACTGAAGTCAATGGAGAACAAAGTCAGTGATATGGTTTGTTCTTTTCACAAAAAGTTAGACATCAGAATTGATATTTTTTTGTGCACAAATGTACTTCATTGTGCTATTTATTTGATTTAGTTTTCAAAATGACGCCCTTTTTTGCTCCAAGTGTTTAAAAGAACTTTGTGTGTTTTTATTTCACTTTATTCCCCATTTCAGTAATAAAATTGTTACTCAAATGGGTAACTGTTACCAAAATGCCGGATACCCATATGCGCCGTTGTGCCCAACCTGTTTAACAGTTTGAGCATATTAAATCCCTCATTTGAAAATTAAATGGTCATTAGGAAGCCCAATGTGTATTTTAAAAAGTTGATTGTACATTATCACTGACCATATTTGCACAAGTTTAACTGAAAAAGGTTGGGAATATTCCATCAACTTTCTGAGATAGTCTCACGTTTTTGAGGTTCCTTTCTTGTATGTTAAAATACAGAAATATGCTGCAATGAAATTCAGTTTTTGTGATTGAATAGTTTTAGTTTTTTCGAAATTTTGTCTAAATTGGAATCCTCCTAAATTTGGATCTTAGAAGCATTCTGAATCTAAACACATGAAGAATTATACAACAAAAAATTATTTATAATCAGCAATAATAAAAGTGAAATGGACCTATTTTTGTAGAGAAAAACTGAAGTGCAGGTGAATTGCATTCAACTATAACAATCTAACAAATAAGGCAAACCTGATATATTCTTGGAAAGTAGAGCTGAAGGAGTTGTAACTTAAGTAACCTGTTACTGTTTTTAACAGTTCATTGACCCATTAAGACACATTTGAACTCCTATAATTCAAAGGTTGGAAAAGTTCATTATGAAATTTCAGGGGTGAATGAGTTAATATGATATGTTGTGCCCAGAGAATTGCTGTAATATTTCAATACACCACGATAATGGGTCACCAAATCAATTGTCAAGTCTGATATTATGTATATAGACTAGTACTGTATCCTAATGATCAGTGTTCTCACAAACAACCAATCATAAGTTCTACAACATCAGACAATGTAAGCAAATTGCTTTTGGTTAACATAATTTTATATGGTTGATTTGGTTTCAGGAAACACATATGCATTCTTTACTTTTCAGACAAATACTCAAGAAAAGAAAAGGCTTTGAATACAAACTGCAAAGAAAAACTAAGAAAAAACATGACCTCTTGCAATACATCCAGGTAATTAAAAGATATGTGCAATGAACTTAGATTGGACAGGCATTGCCAGAATTCATCTATCGTTTAACCTAATTAATATTTTATGAATAATCACATTTTACCAGGGTGACATATAGCTATTATCAGATTCTGGTTTCACATTTTGCCAAAGAAGTGAACTTGTTCATGCAGAAAATCACAGAAAGACTAATGTGTTAGTGTTCCTCGTGTTGGGAATCAGTTTTATGATTGTCCATTGCATTGGTTACCATTTATTAACCGATTCTCTTCACTAATGTACAAGGTTTAAAAGGTTCCCTGTTCATAGGAGAAACACCTTAGCTTTTGCTACACAGAAACCATGACAGTTGTATTGGTGTACATGTTCTTCTTTTCTTTTCAGTATGAAACAAATGTTCTGGCACTACTGAAGAAACGACGACAGGTTTGTTGTATTTACTATGCTGTGTGATATATATACTTTTTATCCTTAGGACCTTATCTACAATGATATTAACATTGTGTCTCGTATACATGATGATATTCTGTACAGTTGTAAAATTGTAATAACATCCATTTATATAGTCAGATTTGTTAGAACTAAATACATGTACAACTTTAAAGAGATTTTTTTTCTAAGAAACGTATTAAGTTGTAGTTTATTCTTTTAGAAATTGTTTTTCTATTCCGTCATTCACCTAGAAACTTTATTTGTTTAATTTATTTCAGAAAATTGGGTACTCCTTTAAGAAGTTGGAGATTGACAATGCCATATCCCAAAGAATACACAAACTGTTTAGGGTAAGAGTCATACACAAAATCACGATCAACCCATCCCGGCTATATGTAGCCATATGTAGCACTCATGTAGCACTCATGTTGATATATCAATGGTTGTCAAGCTAGGTTCAATGCATATTGTAATGAAACAAATCCGTTTAGAGACAGAATTGTTTGTTGTTTTTTTTAAATTTTTGCATAAAAAAAAATCTGTGTTGTGGACTTTTTCAAAGCATGATAATAGTCATTGCTTATTGGAAACTTTTTCAGGCAAATATATACACATACCTATAACAATCTGCTGCTGAGATTTGTGGAGTACACTGACGACATATAAAATCTAGAACGTTAGAATGATATAGTCTACCTCTAGCAGTATGCACATAGCATTTAAAGTCTGCTGAAGTATTTTAGGTTTATGATTATAGATACTATCACCATAGATTGGTAAGGCTTTAGGTTGATGAAACGAAATTTGTATGAACAGGATCTGTTACTTATAATAAGGGGAAGAAATAATTATGTCTTTTGCTTTAATTAACCCTGAAGAATGAAAAGTGGTATCACTTCCTGATACCACTATTATAAACAGAAATAAATAGGGCTGTCCCAATATGTCGGAAAACAGGTGTATCACAATACACATGCATATCGTATCGTACCACAATACAGAGATGAAATATTGCTGTATCGCAATATTTTTTTAAAAGCTTATTTTTATGTATCTCATTCTGCTTGGTGTTTTAACTTTGCAAATTACTACAAATACCAACAGATATGCCAATAAGCATAAAACAGGCTTTTAATAGCGGTGGAAATTAGTTAAAATTTTGTAATCGATTGTTGGTTGACGAAAATCTTAAATCTATGTGATCCATATTATATATGATTAAGTTTGATAACATTATGGCAACAACTTATTGTAAAATCAAGCACATCTTTCCTATGACAATATATTGGGATACATATCGCAATATATTCATTCTGTATTGCAATATATTGTGATACACTCCTGGCGTATTGTGACACCCCCAAAAATAAAGCATAAACAGAAAATTATGCAAAAGAATTCTGATTATATAGGATTATACATCATAATTCTAAGTCGGATCCATTCTTTGTGGTCGTTACCTTGTATAAGTTTCTATCATACATGTTTGATTATTATATTCAGCTTTTTCTACATATTTTACAGTTGGCTACCTACAGGTTTCAGGTAAGTAGCTTTAAAAGATCGCATGTTGATAACTACAAACAATAGTTTTGTTCCTCATTTTATATATATAAGTTAAGTAATGATTTCCTAGGAATGTATATAAAGTCACAGGTTTCTGTCTCTATATTTGTAAATTGCTATAATAAATTAAACAAGCTTCATTACCAAGTTTTGCGTAAATTAAACGTGCAATTGGACATATCCAAAGACAAATTGTGAAGGAAAGGTCAGGAAAGGTCAGGAAAGGTCAGGAAAAGGCAGAATTTTGAAAATACATCTTAGTATTTTGATGTAAATCATGAATATTTTGTTTTAGATAATAGAAATATCAGTTTTGTACATTTATAGAAATATTAGCTTATAGAATAAGACTGTATTGTCATCATCATGATGTTGTTTACTAAAGTATTTTCTGGTAAGAATATACAGGCTGTGTACTGATTTTCTAATTTTTTATTCAGGAGGATGTGAAACTGTGGCTGTCTCATATTCACTTTTCCAAAACAAGGGTAAGGCAACCTTAATATTAACACGCCATATAATGGTCATGTGATAGCTATGGTAATTTAAATGGTTACTTACGAAAATGACAAGTGCACTAAGTTATAAGACTATGGCACATAGTTTAAATGAAACACTTGAACATCATTACTACACGCAGAATAAAGGTCAGATCTAATAATGTGTGGCTCGTACCTTCTGGGGAACTGAGGTCCAACTATTGTCAAATACTCTAGAACGCAAGCTCACGACCACCAGGACAAAACTCATCTGTCATGGACGTGTTTTCCCTACATTTGGATTTTTGCTGCATTGTTCATAGAGTAAGTTTGCTACATACATCAGTACCGGTGGTAAAATATTTCACAATAACATAAGTCTGCTTTGTGCCTCTATAGCTTCACCCTCGTGGAACATAATTGACCTTAGAGAAACAAAATTGAAATTTACCTTGTAAAGTTTCTGTTGTATTTTGCAGAAAGAGAAAACCACAGTCAGTAAGCTGTTTACCCGAATGTTGCAGGTCCACAACAGGAAGTCAGGTAGTGTATACAGATTATCAGCAGAAGACAGAACATTTCAGTATTGGGGTGTTAGAATTAATGTTTTAGTAATTGGGTGTTAGACAACGTATGTCAGTGGCGGGGATGTTAGACAAGACATATCAGTTGTGGGGTGTTTAACGTAACATGTCAACTGAGGGTGTTAGACTAAACATGTCAGTGATGTGGTTAGATGTTTACTGATTGCTTTGTCTTGTAGATCTGTGGATCAGCGCAGCTAAATGGGAGTTCGAAGAGAACATGAATCATGAGAATGCCCGCCATATGCTCCAGAAGGGTCTTAGGTTCAACCCTTCCTCCAAACAGCTCTGGCTAGAGGTACCTCTGTCATGCAGAATTTATCCTGTTTCATAAATAAATTTCATATTGTTTTGATAATTCTAAGAGGAATTTAGGTCAAGAACAGATTTATCACTATTATATAGTATGTGCAACTGGGACCTGTTCAATATTTGTTTAAAACAAAATTAGTTCTTCTTCAAACATTAAGTCATGGAGCTTTCATTGTGTAACAAGTTCATCTTTAAATCTTTAAAGATATTAAGTAAAACAACACATTGTCATGTTGTATTATATTCATTAGGACTACTTTTATGTTGTTTTTCAGTATTACCGGATGGAACTGTTATTTGCAGAAAAGGTAAACAATCTGATATCTAATACACTGACAAACTTATTTATAGTAACCAGTATTTTTTTTATTTTTTTTAACCAATAATTTTCTGATGAACTGTATTCACTAGAATTTGACATGTATACCTATATAACATCCATTTTAGAGAGAGGCTTGATTATACAAATATTTCAAGAACTCTTCAAGTAGTATAAAACAGGGTCGTCTTCAGAATATGTTGTGATGACTGTTACTTTTCAGAATATATTGTGATGACTGTTACTTTTCTGATTTTTAGTTCAAAATTTGTTATTGATCTGTACTTATTTTTCTGATTGCTCAATCAGGATATATTGTTGAAGATAGTTCCTTTTTATTACTACATCACAAAGTCGTTTTGTTCTGACAGTGTATTTACTGCTCTGACATTGTATTTACTGCTCTGATTACTACATCAGGAAGTCCT